CTAGCAGGGCGGGAACGAGGCTGCTAGTTTGGATCGCTAAAGTCATTAAACCTCACACCCATGTATCTAGGTGAATCCGAAGACAAATATAGCGACAGGGCGGACTGACCGGATGGGGGTGGATTAAAAGTGGAACACTCCTTAAACTTCGGCCGAAAAGGCGCCATAGAGGCCTTTGTGCTCCGTTCGGCAATTTTTGAAAAATCTCGCAGGGTCCTTCAAGACCTCTTTTTATTCCCTCCTTCGTCTGGAAAGGTCTCAAATATTAATGCCAGCTTGTTGAAAGAGGATGGATAGGAATAAGAGCCGTTTATGGGCCCACTTTTGCTGAGTTGCCCCAACTCTACGATTTTTTGCTCTTTAACGGTCGATATTTTACGGAATACATCGTGATTTGGTCATATTGGTCTCAATTCAGGTCTACTACTGCCCTAAACATGGGTCTGAGGGCCGATTGTGGCGAAAAATGCGGAATTGTTTGGCATTCGAACGCAAACCCGCATTTTTCGCCAAAATCGGCCCTCAGGCACCTGTTTAGGGCAGTAGTAGACCAGAAATGAGACCAAAATGACCAAAATCATGACACATTCTCACATTATTCACACCTTCAATGGAAAGAAAATCCGAGAGTTGAGGACATTCAGATTGGGCCTGAAAACAACCCTTCTTGATACCCTTCCTTTTGAGCCAATCTCCAAAAAAATAGGGACCTTCCTTTGGCATTTTTGTAGCACGTAGAGGTAGAAAGATAAGTAGAGGCTCACCACTAACCTCTGGGTGAGGAGTGAGAACTTCCATACTTGCGACTTTTGGGGCTCCGCCGACTGATCTCCAAACTTGAGGTACCTTCATCGTGAGTGTATGGAATCATAGAAAATAAGGTTTTATTCACTTTTAATATCGTGATCTCTGGTTCCATTACACAGTTGAGCGTATCCCCTCAATTTCAAAACCAATTTCTGCAACGAGTGATGACTGTCAAAGGTTGGCTATAGCTCCCTGCCAATCGAAGTCACCGTCATTTTCCTGGAGGCCAGTGTTATACCATAATGATTGGCTCTAGTAGGAGGCGTATGACGGCATCTTACCCTACCACCAATTGGCGTTCATCGACTGTAATGTTAAGATTACCAATCTGATTACCTCCGGGTAAGCTTGTACACTCAAGACCGGCGGCAGAGTAGTTATGCGGTCAATCGACTACACGGACACGCATAATTTTCTACCAGCAATATCACTGCTCACCCTCCAGTCGCACTCGTGGCGGGCACTGAGGTATCTGGACGAAATGACGAAAGTTGAATGCACCTGCACCGCACAGTGGACCGAGTCAAAAGGAGAATTCGGACAAAATCTGGCAACTTTGAAAGCTTATACTTTCGATAATATAAAGCAAGAAAGTTTAAGAGTGGTTTCATAGGTTTTATTGGGAAATTTCCTTTCGAAAACACGTATTGGAATTAAATTTGTAACATAATAAACACACAAATTTGAAATTGTAGCAAAAATTGCATTTTCGACCTCCTCTCCACTGTGCTCGTTCCACTGCGCACCGGTGCAAAACTCGTCATTTCCCAGATGAAAAAACGTAACGTTATTGCAATGTCGCAAAATTCCCGCTCGCAGTACGTATTTCGACTCAAAAACTGTTAGGATTTTCGTAAAAAAATCCTCACTAATTTTCCAACAGATCGGCAGAATCTCTGCTAGAAATTGCGCGGTTAATTTTGCGCACAAGAAAGAGTCACTGGAGTAAATTTTACAACTTATGAATCGAGTTACGCTGTTTCTTCTTGGAAACGCAAAAATGAGCATAACTCGCTCGAAGCTGGAAACCTGTCGGGAGCCAGTAAGCATCGTCGCTCCTCAGACGGAGGGGCGTATTAGCATTCCTGCATGAGCCCTGGATCGTATTTAGTTGTACGGGCAGCAGGGCTCATCTTAGAGTGCAGTTACGCCCGTGCGTCAGAGGAGCGACGATATGAGTGGGACTACGCCAACAGCTGGTTCCACGAGTGCCACCACCGCGCTACGTGCACAAGCGCGAGCTTCAATGAGCTGTAATGACGATTCGAGGTCGAAGGCGCGAGCGGGGTCCGTTTGCAGAGCGAGATGCGAGCGAGAACTTATGTTCGCTCGCGTAAAAGATCCTTGCTGTTGCGAGTGTCAACGCTCGGATCACTTCACGCGCAGGCGCATTGGCGATTTTGCAAATGTGGCAACACTGTTTTTCTTCCATTTAAGTCAATTGAAAATATCGATTGAAGGCGAACCAAGCTGGCGCTCCAAGAATCAATTGTTTCGAATTTTTTTAAATGGCAGAAAAACAGTGTTTCCGATTTTCAGGAATCGACTTTTGATGGCCGAAATCTCAATCAGGCCCATCATGCCGCAATCACACGCTGGATGTAGCAGCTGAATGTGGAGGTCAACAGTCATCGCCCAACGGCTGAAATTTAGCAAATTCGAGTTATTTTCATCCAGATTCCAGATGTGTATCAGATCTACTCAAATAGTTCAGACAAATTCAACATTAGTTCGATGGTTGCTCAGAATAGTTGCTGAATTTTGCGCGTCACACGCAAAATTCAGGCATCGGGTCGATGACTTCCACATACAAGCCACATTCAGCTCCCACATTCAGCGTGTGATTGCGGCATCACGGAGGAACACCGAAAAAAACGTGATGTTGATGTAACATTCTCGATGGAAAGAAAATGTGCGAGAACTCATAAAATGCTGAATTACCTGCCTCAGCAGCTACTTTTACATCTTGACTTTGCTAAAGTAACTGCTGTAGCGGGTAGATTCAGGGTTTTGTGAGTTCTCGCACACTTTTTTATCACCTTCACTTTTTTTGGGGTGAAAATTTGAGGAAGAGAAGGAGGTGTCTGCACTTCGGGCATCTTGGATTTTTTTTATAACGTTGGTCGGTACGGCAGACGATTTTTATCATCGATTTTTTTGGAAACGGAGTAGTCAATGGAAAAAAGGCATTCTTTATAAAGTGTTTGAAATTATATCATGAGTTGATTTAGGCAAAAAAAATCGGACGGATGGTCCATTTTTCATACTTTAAATTCCGCATTTTGCTAGAGTACCTGTACCGACCTACATACGTCACGAGGTATAAGGAATCCTCAAGATGCACTGGAAAAAAAAGTCGCTTGGGTCTAGAGTCCAGCCTCTTAAAAACATTGACAAGACAAAATACTCTTGATTCAACAGAATTTTTACTTAAATCAGGAGGAAATCCGCTTAAATCAAGAGGCTTGGCTCTTAGATTTAAGGAAAAATCCGATTGAATCGAGAGTATTTTTTCTTGTCGATGTTTTTAGGAGTATGGACTCTAGATCCAAGCGACTTTTTTTCCAATGTGCAAACACCTTCTTTTTTTCTCTATGCGGAGCAAGTGCTAAGTGTGTGCGATTTTCCCGCCATTCCGGTGTACTTGGAATTTTTGCGAGTCTCTGGACTTTTTATAAGCGGGCTTGCCCAGGATTTTGGCTCGAAAAATACGCTGTAAATCACCTCGTAATCCACTCATCTGGTGCTTACAAAATATTAAATAAACAACACTAGGTTCAGTGACCCATTACCCCGGATAATCAAGATTCCACTCGATACCCAGTCACCCCAGAGCATTTTTGACCCGGTCTGCTGTCGAGAGTGTCGATCATTCCTTGCGTAATTTAAAGCGCGGATCGCTAAATTGCGTGATCGCATCCTCTGAGCCACTGTCAAGTGTTGATAAATCGATTAGCCCGGCTTTAACGAGGCAATTTCAATCAATCTGACTGGAGATCCGCCCGGAAATTACAATTGATTCCATTTCCTCTTTTCTAACCCTTTCCGCCAGTTCCCATGCACTCAGCTCGTCATTGCGAAAAGCAATCGCGAACCGAAGCCATTAGAGACTCCATATTTTACTAGAATCCAAATAAGTGTAAAATATTCATGTATACGATGGATGCAGCATGGGTAAGGGTAAACCATCTTAAGATGAATGCCCAATTTCCGGAAGCTTACAAATTTTTTTTTTATTATCTACACTGAAAAAAAAGTTCGGCAACTCCGAACTAGTTAGGATCATATGGAACCAGGATTTGTTCGGTACACACAACCGAATTATTCGGTGTGTTCAACCGAATTGTTCGGTTTGTGTGACCGAACCATAATAAAGTCTTACAGTTCGGTCCAGTGGACCGAACAGTTCGGCTGAGCAGAACCAAACAAAACCTGGTTCCATATGATACCAACTTGTTTGGATTTACCGAACTTTTTTTTTTCAGTGTGCAAAAACACCGACTAAGTGGAGCGAGCTGTGATATCATAAACGAGGAAAAATGTCAATGAATGAACCAAAATTGGACGTATTAATGCTAGAAGGAACTAGGTTACACGCAAACCCTATGCACATAGTTCCTTTTGGCATAAATACGTCCAATTGATCAATTTTAAACAACATGTTTCCAAATAATGGTGAAATTTGAAATGAGAGAAGGCAACCCCTCGTATGTGCAACAGAACTGATGAGAAAGGTCAGCTTACAGGAACCAAAAGTTTGGTTTGACAGACCATAATATCGATGGCAAACGTGCAAAACCGCGTTTGCCCATTGCGGGGATTCAGAATTTCCGCTCCTATTTTATTTTTCCGCCGAGAAACAAGTCAATTTTTGAGCATTAAATTCATACAGAATATTTTGCTAACAGAGAGGAAAAATCTTGAAAGTTTTCAAGATATTACGTTGACAAGCTTTTCAAAGAACAAATATTGTAAGATAAGAAATTGCGAACGGATGTACGTTGTTTTTAGCATAGTTGGGGCGATATGAGAAATTCGATTTTCGCTTTAAAGGGCGACTTTTTTTTTCTAGTGCTCATATTTTTATATTTTTCCTCATTTAGCGTGTCATAATAACTCGGTTATAATTTCTCACTCTCCTGCAACGAAAGAATTCTACGATTTTTATTAGCGAAATTTTTCCATTGTTCCAGATATGTCTGCAGACCAACTTGTGCCGGTAGGAAATGGGCCTGAAGACGTGGGGCCCCCCTATAACGTGACAGTTGGCAGCCCGACGGAGGACACCGTTCTTGTTCTCACCGAAAATTGTCTCCAGAGGCCTGTCTGGATCACCTCTCAAAATGATATTCCGACCTTCGTACTCGCTGTGCTGTACATAATTTTCGGAATCCTCTATACATTATTCGGTATGTTACTAGTGTTCTCTTATTTTATTTTTTACTTTTTCTCACTATGAATTTTTTTTGTAACTGACAATTCGCCGTTTTCCAGACGAAAAAATACAACACCATTCCAAGGTTGCAAAATTAATCCAAACATTTCAATTTTTCACAATAATTTACCTGTGCGATTTTTGTCCAAAGCTCCCCTGATTTTTGCATAAAATCAAAGGGGAAATCAGTGAAATTTTCTTTTAGAAATTGCCAAAATTCTCCTAGTAAAATTGCAATTTGTGCAGGGAAATTGGCAACATTGAAATGTAGTTACGTTCTTTTATGAGAGAAACGACGAATTAACAACTCCATGTGACCTCTAAATCCAAAACTGCGGATTTTAATTGCATAACATTTCAACATTTTCGCAAATCCCTCGCTTTCTGGGAGGAAATCAAATTGACCTAATGAGTTGACATTTTTAGAAAATGGCCGCGGAATGATATAAAACAACATCGAAAAAAATTGGAACCGCAATGGAACTCTGTTCGATTTTCTTCTCAGAAATAAAGAAATGAGCAACATTTTTAAACATTGTAGAGACAATCGTAGTTTTAGAGGATGGACATCGAACGCCAGTGGAAAAAACTGAGTTCTCCTTCATTTTATGAACTATGCAACTTGGGCTACTTTCGAATCATAATAGTTGTATCGTGCACTTTCAATGAGGATCAGATACAGCGTGTAGGGATAGCACATATTTTTGAGGAATGAAGTAATGTCTCGTTAATTTGAATATTTAACACAATCGCACGGCATTTTATGAAATGATCTCGAAAGGTTTTAAAAAAAGGAGAGTTTGAATTTTAAAACGCTACACCCTCGAAATGCTGGCATACCTGAAAATATTTTCAGCATTAAATGTTTTTCATTTCTATTACAACCAGTTTCATTTTTTTAAAAAAAAGAAATCACAACTTTTGAAGTTGGAAACATTCTAAAAATCAAAGGTTATCGACGGTTTCCCCAATTTTCCTCCATTCTATAATTCATTCAATGCGCATCAAATATAGTTTTGCAAGGATGCAAAAAACAAATCGCCCTGAGGTTTCAATATGCGGAAACCTCTAAGTTGATAGAATCTGATATTGGGGTCTTAAGCCGGCTACATTGTTCTATTCTTTGGACCCAAAGGAATATAAATTGCGATATAGGGCGTGCAGTCAACCGTATCATTTGCTCAACGAAAAACATTGAACTCACGTCTTTTGAATGAGGAGCACCACAGTGCGGCCGTGCTAAAGAAGAACGCCTTATGAACATTCGAGAGTTGCCAAATTCACCCGGATAAATCGAGTATTTTTGAGGAAAGTTATGCATATTTTTCCTTGAAATTTTTAGATATCTCAGATAAAAGTGCGATCAACATTGTCTGAAAATTTTGAAGACAAATATTCACAATTTCCCCCGTGAATTTGTTTTTATTCGGGGAAATATGACAACATCTAAAGTCTCTTGTGGCGTTTTTCCTCAGCACGGCAGAGTAGCTGTCTCCGGACCAAAAGATGCGGGTCATAAACGGCTAGAGGTGGGTCTCACACTGATGACTGAAGGCTTCTCCATGGAATCAATTTTCCACGCTCCACTGCCGCAAATAGGATTGTGTGAATATGGAGAGGAAATTAATTCAACCGGCCCCATTGTCATCGATTGATAGACAAAGTACATTGAATGATGACTCATCAGTCAAGGTTATCCAAACTAAAATTTGAAAACCAGACGGGCGGCTCTGAGCTCTATGCAAACACCCGCTGAGAAAGTGTGTGAATTTCGGCTCCTGTCTGTAAAGCCAGGAGAATGAATGAGTCCCTTCTGCACCATTGACGTCACATACTGAGGGAGCGCAGATGTTGCCTCGGCATTTGCAGACACATGGGTGGCGTCTTGCGAAGTCTGGTCGTTGGGACCAGACTTCCAGATTTTTTATGAGACTTTTTGCTTCCAACTCTTCAATTTTAGTGAGTTTCAAGGTTTTGTTTGTTGATTTTTTTTTTCAAAGTTGAACTTAATGGAATAATCGCAGTATGGAACCTTATTAGGGACCGGGGATATCAATTCTATTAAAACATAAAAATTTAAGTTGAGTTACTCACCGGAGATTCCCAGTTGAACTCTCCAGATTTCGGTAAAGTCTCTGGAAAAAAATGCGTTTGATCGGTTATTAAAGAGTCACGGGTGTAAATAACCCTAAAGTGCACTGAATTTGTACAATTTTTATTTAAAAAAATTAGGTTTGAGGGAAGATATTGTAAAGAAAAGCCGCGACGTGAGAGAAACTGACTTTAAATCAGTCACAGTAAAAATTGATGGGACGAGAAGTGATCAGAGAGAGATTAAAAAACAAACAAACGAAACTCAAAGGAGTGAATACTTTACTTGGCTGCACTCTATTGACTATGTTCACATATTGTCTAAAACTGTTTAAAAAACTCCTGAAAAAGGGTAAAGGGAATTTTTTTAAAAAAAACCAAAAACCTGAAATTTACCCTTAAAGAATGACTTGAAGAGCATTTAAAAAAAAACTACTGTTAATTTTAAAAAATTGTATTTAATATTTTTTTTTTACAAAAATGAAGGTGCTATTCCAATTAAGCCCTGATGATGTTTAATCACTTCTTTACTTATCTTTCACGTTCCACAAATCATACTTAAACTTTAGTAAGGAAGGGTTCTCCTCCTTCGTTTTTCCAAGATTTTCCTCCATACGTTGTCTTTTTAAAATATGTAAGTGCTTTGAAAGTGTTTTTAAAAATCGTTGCTACAACAGTATTGCAGTAGGTTCAAAACCCCGCCAAAAAATCCAAACCTGAAATGGAACTGCATTCAGCCAGGCAATTATTAGAACCTAATTTGGACGCGAAGTTTGGCCCCATCTCATACACAGTCCTTCACACCCTCGCATGTTGGAGAACGATGTGAAACAGCCGACGTTATTCTCTATAGATCCGCCACCGGATACCGGGAGGGCCTAGGCATACTTGCCAAATCTACAGGACTCAAAAGGACGAGATGGGACACGCATATGTTTCAAAATTCCATCAACAAAGCGGCAACGCTGTGTTTATTATACGTGGGATATCACGAAAGTTCAAAGCACAATGCTGACTGGCGAATTTTCGAACTGGAGTAACTACTGCACGGAAAGAGCACCTGTAATACTATCTCGACCGTCCTCATTCATCGTTTTTGTCTGTGGTCCGTCTCTTTGATCACAAAATGTCGTCATTCTTTTCTCCTCTGAGCTCTGGAAAGCGTTGAGTTGTAGGGATGACAGAGCTCATCTTAAAGTGTGGTTGCGTTCTTTTGCCTTTGGAGTTCAGCGACGACGTCTCATTCAAAAGTAAGCGCTCGGATCGTCTTTTAATGCGCATCGGTGTCACACTGGGAGAAAACAACGAACATTTCCACCAGCGGCTTGATTATTAACATCGGTAAAGAGAGGGATAGACAAAGAAGACGTGAACCTTTAGCCTTTAGCACGGGTTAGTTTGAAAGTTCAGTTTCACATGGACTACATTTTGTAATTAGGAACTACAATTTCTGGCATCGAAACTCACCTTTGAGTTTCAGGAGCTACGTGACCCATCAAGCTCGATTTTTAGAGGCCATTGAAGATTATTAAGGGCTAAATTGACTTTTTGCCAACATCACGGCACATCTAGTGAATAGTCAGAATCCGGTGCAGTACGTCCAAATTTCGAAAAATCACCGAACAGAAAAATTAGGATTTATTTTTATTTTATTTGGGGGGTTAGGGGCCACGTTAGTGCAGAGCCCTCATATTTTAGGCGCCATGACCGATCTCTTAGACATATCTGGCGCATTTGCGCGCCTGTGAGTATTAAACTGATTTGGAAACAGCGTATGTACTATTAAATTCCCCACCCACATAAATGTTTTTGCAGATGAGCCAGAGATTGCAGCTCCGAATTGCAAAATTAGTCCATGTAGATCCTGGACCGATTAGAATTATCGAAATCGCACAGTCACAAATGCAAAATGAACTTTCAGGGGCTAAAGTATGTCATACGCAACAAATAAGCAATTTTGATAATAAACTTTGAACCTCGACGTGTGATATTTTTTTTTTCTTTTTAAAAATTTCAAAATTTATTTTGTTTCTTTTGCCAAGTGCTTCGAAGCCTCCTGAGCCCATTCAAAAAATTTAAGAAAATTCTACTAGGAAAATTAAAGTCCTAAATCCTATTGGGAAAAATTCATTTTTAAGGCTTTAAAATCTGCATTTTCGGTCTAGCGGTTCATACGCATGACCGAACTTTTTCCTCTCAGTGAAAAATTTATTGATTTTCTCTCCGGGAATGATCGAACTTGGAGACCAAAATAATCAATAAAACATGTAAAACACACACACACACAGCGGGATTGCGTTTCCCATTTCTGATATCATTAACGCACGTTCCAAGTGCTAATAGCCGTCCGACCAGAAATACGTGTTTCTCGTTCGTAGCTGACCACGGCTTCGTCACACATCCGAAGTTCATTCCCGCCGTCCAATCATTTGCGTCCGAAAACAATCGTGTGTTGGTAAACAAATGCATCGCTCCGGAGGTAGTCGTAGCGTCTGCAACCGTCACGTCGCGTCGCGACGCGAAGCGTCGCACAGTAAATCGGGTCAATAGGAGAGGTCGGACAAAATTTGAAAACTTCAAACGCGTATAACTCCGTTTATACGAAACTTTAAGGCTCTAAAAGTGGTTCCATTGATTCCCCCGTGAAATTTTCTTCGAAAAACACCCCTTGAAATGTAAATGTGACGGAATAAACACTAAAATTTGCAGTTTTAGGCAAACATGTCATATCCGACCTTCCTAATTGACTCGACCCACTGTGCGACGCGAGGCGTCGTTGACATGCGCGTCGGGACATGGCAACAGGACGCGGAGAGGAGCTCCCCTCCCCCGTGCTCCCGCCCCCCGCAGTTTCATTGATTTTCCTCTCAGCCTGATCTTGGGGCGCTTTGAAAATTATCCCACAGCATCGCATCCCCCCCCCC